AGCTTACTAGAAACGACATTTTCAGTACTGCCACTGTCAATGATAATAGTACAAACCTTACCATTGACAGTACATCGGGTGCGGAATAATGAGTGCCGTTGTGGAGTAGGTTGTATCTTAGGGGTAAGTAAAATTCTTTCCAACACACAAGAAATTTGATCTCCTTCATCGGGTTCCAAATAGGTAATATCTTCGTCGGAGTCATGGCCACAAGCTTCACCCAAATCTTGGTCATCTTCCACAAAGTTAACCATTTTACGTTGTGGACATTCATTGGATAAATGGCCCACTTGTCCACAGCGAAAACATTTTCCCAACCACCGTGGAGAGAGAGCGGTGGTTGGTTCCGCTTCTTTGTCACCGAGTGAAGAATCTTCGCTTACCGGAGCATTCTTTCTTCCCGCCATGGACAATTACCCAAGGACGTTGGTTGCTCTGATACCAAATTGGTGTAGGCAAGTTTGAGAGAAAACGAGGATTGTATTCAAGTGTAGGAAAAGTTACAAATGACCAGCTATTTATAGGAAATATCCTAGGGATATGGGAAGAACTAACAACTTAACTATCTAACTAACTAAATCAAAGTTAACTAAAGTAGTTACTCATAGTTACATCAAAATAACAGGATTATTATTTTTAACATTCTATTAAAAAAATTCATCCTATATTTATACATATATTACACAATTTAATATTTAAAAATGAATTATAAGTGATAGTTCAATATATCAGTTTCTTTAGAATGTAGATTATTAATTTATTGATGTCAATGTAAGACAGGAATTTTTTAAACTATTAGCTCCATAAAGTGTATTTAAAAAATACAATGATATATTGAATAAGATTCCAATTTTAGAACTATTTTGCCTTAAAGAAAACAACATGTAATGTTCTTTAAGTTATCATATTCTTTGTAACTTGAAATGTTTATTAAAAGAAAACAGCACAATAATATTCTTTAATTTATTGTATTCTTTGTTACTTGAAATGATTATTAATTTACACTTAAAGTTCTAGACTTTTCAATTATAAAATTTCAGGGAATGAATTAAAATATAAAGATTAGTGTCTGGCTAGTTTTAGCTACATATTTAATTATTGATGCATTAATTTTTGACTTATTATAATTAGAGAGAGCCTAAAGAGAAATCCAAAGTTTCTCTTTTAAGCCACCTTTGAATATGGTATGGTATAATATAGATTTTCTTTCGCTTTTTACTCCATATGGTGAGGGGACTTAAATGGTTCTAATGAGATTTTAATGTAACTTATTTGCTTACCTTATGTTTGAAGGTTGCTCGGGAAACTAACGAAGAGCTTCGCAATATCAAAGCATTTCCATCTGAAGGATTTGATGTTGGTGCTATCCTTTCTATTGCTAGGAGGTACAGCTCCCCCTCCTTCACCTGCCCCTTCCTCCACCCATCTTTCTGAAAATGTGTTTGAAAAGTTTTTGTAATGGCAACTTTTGGATTCGTAGCATTCATGCATTGTTGGAGTCATTTGGAGTGGTTATGTTGATTTTTTGTTTGATGTAAACTTTTTGCTGTGATGAGTACGTTTTCATGATCATTGGTTATATTGGTTGATCAGACAACTATCTAGCGAACACGAGGCTACTAGAATTGAAGCATTGCATTGGATATCAACACTTTTAAACAGACATCGGACTGAGGTGACTATGACATTGTCTATTTTTTGTTTTTGTGTATTGCAGACAACTATCACTATGTGCTCCATAAGTGCCAAGCAGCCGAGTTAATATTTTGATTCTTTTGAAGTTTGGAAACTTCTCGTCTTTTACTTTACCTTGAATTATCGTATTTGATCTCTATATTATTTTTTCTTTCCATTAGAAATGCTATTTTCAGACTCTTCCCCCCTTTCTATTTGCTATTGGGTTTAGCCAGAAATAACAGTGGCAAGTGATACTCGGCAGTCATCACTCTAATATTTCTAGATAAATGCAGTGTGCTGCTTTTCTGGGCATACATTACCAACAATATGAGCAATCTGCATGGGATAGTGATATTTCAGTATGCAAGGCAATTGGGATTATCTATACATTGGCTATAGGCATGGTGTGGGATGATTACTTGTGTGTACTACCAAAATTAGGACCTTGTAGGCCTTTTACTGCTGTCAGGAAAGCTTAACATACTTTATATTGCCTCATAATGTATTTTGAGAACCATGTTGCTCTCGAAGAGGAAGAGGCCACCAACCGCCTTCACTCCCGGTGAAATAGCAGATACGCCCCTTAGTCCAAAATTTAGGTTGGTAGTGGTACTGGTAACAATATATTGTTGTGGAATGATTTCTGGTCCGGTGACTGGCCCTTCAAATATATATTTCCTAGATTATACAGTTTGGCCAGGTCCAAATCTTGTATGGTACAATAATGCAGAACCTCCAATGTTCATTGGATTATTCAGTTTCATAGGAACCTAACAGATGTCAGTTTTTTTCTTTTTTGGAAGGGTGAGAAACGGATGTGTTATAAGGTATTGACTGCTTATTGATGGAGGCTTTGAATGGTGTTACCGTGAGTTTTGATGAAGTTTGGTCCAGTCTTTGTCCTGCATCTAAGTAGTGCTTTGTCAGGGTGGAAAGGTTTTAAGGCATATAAGGGGCTTACAAGTTTCTGAAGTGCTGTTATGATTCTGAACCAATCAAGGTGGATGAATATTCTTGCCACAACTATCACTATGACCTAGTTACTGTCTACTACCCATTTGATTCATTCTTACTAACCATGCTAATTGAAGGGTCCTCTAAAGGTTTCTTAACCTTGCTGCTTCACTCATTGGCTGACTTACTCATCACTTCTACAAAGATAAGGTTAGTAGGGGAGGATGGGGTTTTAATTAGGATGAAAGAAGTGTAAGTTTGGATTTTACTCCAGGTAATAATCTTAAATGAGCCCAAGAAAGATATTCCAACCAGTTTTTTCTACTCCCTTTGGTTACTATGAGGCAACTCTTCGCTACCATTGTTGATCAAATTTGAAAATTTCTGCTAGGCAATCCCTATTATTTGATATTTTCTTTACTCGAAGCACATAGTCATCACACATTGTTTCTCGAAAGAATTCAACTACCTGCAGTGAGCTTAGCAGGTCTTTTGAATAGTCACAAATCCAAGAGAGACCAACTGAATACTGAATAGTGAAGGGAGGAGGAATTAGACTTTCTTACTTCCTTGAGTTGCACTTGGACGCCCTTGAAGCTACTAGCAAAGTCAAGAAGAAGTCCTTTTCAATTGAACATAGCATTTGAATGGAGCCATTGATTCTTTCGTTGAAACAAAGACGACAGGTTTTATTA